TATATTTTAATTATGCGTAATGATATAAATACATTGTATGTAATATATGTGTATGTACATTTTATCTCCAACAATATCCTGTATGTTCCACCTGTGCTTAAAAAACAGCTGTGATATGGACTCTACAAAACCTCTGAACGACACGTGACTGTGGTATCTGGCACCAAGACATTAGCAACAGGTCATTTAAGTCCTGCAAATTGCAATGCATTGGATTTGTTGTTCCAGCAAATCTCCCAAATACTCAATCAGATTGAGATCTGGGGAATTTAAAGCCAATGAAACACCTTGAACTCTTTGTCATGTTTCTCAAACTATTCCTGAACATTCCTGAACCCTACGTAGGTGTTATACTGTATGTCAAAGTAACATCCACACAAGTGACATGACCCAAGGTTTCCCAGCAGAACATTGCCCAGAGCACAACATTGCCTCCGCTGGACTGCCTTCTTCCCGTGATGTTTTCTGATGTTATCTATTCCCCAGGCAAACAATGCACAAACAGCCATCCACCTGATCTAAAAGAAAACATGATTCATCAGACCAGGCTACCTTTTTCGATTGCTCCATGGCCCAGCTCTGACACACATGTCCCCATTGAAGGCGTTTCGGATTCATCATGGGCACTCTGACCGGTCTGCAGCTTTGCAGCCCCATATGCAGCAAACTGCAATGCACTGTGTGTTCTAAAACCTTTCTATCATAGCCAGCAATATGTTTTTCAGCAAATTTAGCAACAGTAGCTATCCTGTCTGATCAGGCAAGACAGGCAAGCCTTCGCTCCTCATCAATGACCCATGGGGGTCCTGATCCTGATGTCCACCTATCCTTCCTTGCACCACTTTTAGTAGTTACTAACAGCTGCATGCCGGGAACACTCTGCAAGAATTTCCGTTTTGGGGATGCTCTGACCCAGTTGTCTAGCCATCACTATTTAGCCCTTGTCCGAGTCACTCATATCTTCTCCCTTACCCATTTTCCTGCTTCCAACAAATGAAGATCAAGAACTGACTGTTCACTTGCCACCTAATATGTCCCAACCCTTGACAGGTGTCATTGTAATATTATAATCATTGTTATTTACTTCAATCAATGTTATTCACTTTACCTGTTAGTGGTTTTAATAATGTGAGTTATCAGTGTGTATATATATATATATATATATATATATAATTCATTTTTTCACTCTTCCCGATTGTATATTTTTTGTGCTGTCCTTTAGTCCTGCCTTTTCAAACCACTGGTAGGATTTTATAATGTGAGCCACATTCACTATCTGTCAGTGGTACACCCCATGCCATGGAACCTCCTCCTTTTCTGTATCCTCTATCTGTTATTATCTCAGGCATTCCTTTGGCAGTTTATCTTTGGAAGCCCTCTTTTGGATGTACTTGTGGATGCTCTGTCTTCATCCAGACTGTGGCCTTGACACTCATCTCCTTCCTCCTTCTTTCTGGTTGGTGTACATTCTGTAGGTGCTAAATTTAAGGTGGAATCCTCCATTCATAGTGAGTAGTATCTGGGCCTTGACATCCATGCTTATTCCAGCTGGGAAGAGCATGGAGTTCACCAGAGCTTCAAAGGTTGCCACTGGAGTCCTCTTCCACTCCTCCATGACGACATCATGGAGCTGGTGGATGTTAGAGACCTTGTGCTCCCCCACCTTACGTTTGAGGATGCCCCACAGCTGCTCACAGGGCCGCCATCAGAAATTGTGGGGCCCCTAACACAGCTCAAGGTGTGAGCCCCCGGGTGCCCGCCTCCATGCCCCTTCTCCAAATCCCGCCCACAGGAATACACACACACAGACACAAAAGGACACACACACAGAAAGATACACACATACTAACAGACACAAATACTGAAACAGACATACATACATATAGACACATACACAGATACAGATACACACACACACTTACTGACATACAGACACACACACTGACGTACATACATACTCACATACTGACACACACACATACATACATACATACAGACAAACAGACATACATACAAACTGACATACAGACATACAAACAGACATACATAAATACATACTGACATACATACATACATAATGGCATGCATACACATACATACCGATATACATACATACAGACATACACACACACACAAACACAGATAGATAGATATATACATACCCAGATACATACAGACATACAGACATACATACACACAGACATACATGCATAATGACATACATACTGATAGATAGATAGATAGATACATACATACATACATATATACTGACATACACACACACACACACACACACAAACACACAGATAGATACACAGACATACAGACATATACACACAGATACATACAGACATACAGACATACACACACAGACATACATGCATAATGACATACATACTGATAGATAGATAGATAGATAGATAGATAGATAGCTAGATAGATAGATAGATAGATACATACACAGATACATACAGACATACAGACATACACACACAGACATACATGCATACTGACATACATACAGATAGATAGATAGATAGATAGATAGATAGATAGATGTATACATACAGACATATATACATACTGACATACACACACATAGAGATAGACACATACACACATACATACACACATATATACTGACACACACAGACATATATACATACTGACATACACACAGACATACATACTGACATACACACAGACATATATACATACTAACACACACAGACATATATACATACTAACATACACACAGACTTACATACTGACATACATGCATACTGACATACACACACACACACACAGACATACATACATACTGACACACACGCATACATACATACATACATACATACATACATACATACAGACAAACAGACATACATACAAACTGACATACAGACATGCAAACAGACATACATAAATACATACTGACATACATACATACATAATGGCATGCATACACATACATACTGATATACATACATACAGACATACACACACACACAAACACAGATAGATAGATAGATACATACACAGATACATACAGACATACAGACATACATACACACAGACATACATGCATAATGACATACTGATAGATAGATAGATACATACATACATACATACATATATACTGACATACACACACACACACACACACACACACACACACAAACACACAGATAGATACACAGACATACAGACATACACACAGATACATACAGACATACAGACATACACACACAGACATACATGCATAATGACATACATACTGATAGATAGATAGATAGATAGATAGATAGATAGATAGATAGATACACAGATACATACAGACATACACATACACAGAGACATACACGCATACTGACATACATACTGATAGATAGTTAGATAGATAGATAGATAGATAGATGCATACATACAGACATATATACATACTGACATACACACACATAGAGATAGACACATACACACATACATACACACATATATACTGACACACACAGACATATATACATACTGACATACACACAGACATACATACTGACATACACACAGACATATATACATGCTGACATACACACAGACATACATACTAACACACACAGACATATATACATACTAACATACACACAGACTTACATACTGACATACATGCATACTGACATACACACACACACACACACAGACATACATACATACATACTTGCAGACACATACATATACACACACACACACACTTAATTTATCAGCCACCCTCCTCTTACCTTTAAGTTGCAGTAGGGTGGGTGGGGATGATGGGAGTGAATGCCTTTGGTGTCCTCTTCTTTCCTCCGCTCTCCCTATGCTCTCCCTTTCCCCCTGCGCGGAGTAAGCTGGAAGGAAGTGACCGGACAATTTTTTTTAAAGGGGCCCGGTTGCGCAATTACACGGCTGCAGCGCTGACCGGGCCCCTGAAGATATAGGGCCCATCGGGTGGCCCTAAATGCTTGGGCCACCTGATGGGCCCCGGTGCAGATGCACTTGCGACAGTTTCGCCGCTCCCCCTGATGGTGGCCCTGGATGCTCGATAGGGTTTAGGTCTGGAGACATGCTTGGCTAGTCCATCACCTTTACCTTCAGCTTCTTTAGCAAGGCAGTGGTCATCTTAGAGGTGTGTTTGGGGTCGTTATTATGTTGGAATACTGCCCTGCAGCCCAGTCTCCGAAGGGAGGGGATCATGCTTTGCTTCAGTAAGTCACAGTACATGTTGGCATTCATGGTTCCCTCAATGAACTGTAGCTCCCCAGGGCCGACAGAAATCATGCAGGTCCAGACCATGATACTCTCACCACCATGCTTGACTGAAGGCAAGACACACTTGTCTTTGTACTCCTCACCAGGTTGTCGCCACAAACGCTTGACACCATCTGAACCAAATAAGTTTATCTTGGTCTCATTGGACCACAAGACACGGATCCAGTAATCCATGTCCTTAGTCTGCTTGTCTTCAGCAAACTGTTTGCAGGCTTTCTTGTGCGTCATCTGTAGAATAGGCTTCCTTCTGGGACAACAGCCATGCAGACTAATTTGATGCAGTGTGCGGCGTATGGTCTGAGCACTGACAGGCTGACCCCCCATCCCTTCAACCTCTGTAGCCATGCTGGCAGCACCCATATGTCTATTTCCCAAAGACAACCTCTGGATATGATGCTGAGTATGTGCACTCAACTTCTTTGGTCGACCATGGCGAGTGGAACCTGTCCTGTGAAACCGCTGTATGGTCTTGCCCACCGTGCTGTAGCTCAGTTTCAGGGTCTTGGCAATCTTCTTATAGCCTAGGCCAGTGATGGCGAAACCTTTTTGAGCCGGAGTGCCCAAACCGTAATACATGCCAATTTTTTTTCCCTCAAAGTGCCAAAACGGTCATTAAACCTGAATACTGAGGTTTAAGTTTAGAAAAAACAACTCATACAGTTGTCCGAACTAATTAACATCTCTGTGTGTGTATTTAGCAGTCTGTCTGTGTGTACTTAGCAGTCTGTCTGTGTACTTAGCACACACACAGACTGCCGAGTACACACACACACACACACACACACAGACTGCTAAATACACAAACACAGACTGCTGTGTAAACACACACAGACTGCTGAGTGTACACACACACACGTACAGACTGCTGAGTGTACACACACAGACAGATTGCTGAGTGTACACACACAGACAGACTGCTGAGTGTACACACACAGACAGACTGCTGAGTATACACACACTGCATTGAGGGGTACATTGTATTTGTTTGTGTGTGTGTGTGTGTGTGTGTGGGGGGGGGTGATGTGATGTGTGGGTAGGGTGATGTGTGGGTGTCTTTGTGTGGGGTGATATGTGTAGGGCAGGGGTGCTGTGTGTATGTCGTCCCCCCTCTCCCCCCGTCCCACACTCAGTTTTCTCCCCCTATACCTCCCTCAGTTCCCCCCCATCTCTCCCTCAGTTCTCTCTCCCTCAGTTTCCGTCCCATCTCTCCCACTCAGTTTCCCCCCCATATCTCTCCCACTCAGTTTCCCCCCCATATCAGTTCCCCCCATCTCTCTCCCTCAGTTCCCCCCCATCTCTCTCCCTCAGTTTCCCCCCATCTCTCTCCCTCAGTTTCCCCCCATCTCTCTCCCTCAGCTTCCCCCCATATCTCTCCCTCAGTTTCCCCCCCATATCTCTCCCTCAGTTTCCCCATATCTCTCCCTCAGTTTCCCCATCTCTCTCCCACTCAGTTTTAGCCCCATCTCTCTCCCCTCCAGTTTTGGCCCCATCTCTCTCCCTCAGTTTGGCCCCATCTCTCTCCCTCAGTTCCCCATCTCTCTCCCTCAGTTCCCCCATCTCTCTCCTCAGTTCCCCCCCATCTCTCTCCCACTCGGTTTCCCCATCTCTCTCCCTCAGTTCCCCCATATCTCTCCTCAGTTTCCCATGCTCTCCCTCAGTTCCCCCCCATGCCTCTCTCACTCAGTTCCCCCATCTCTCTCCACTCAGTTCCCCATCCTCTCTCTCCACTCCAGTTTCCCCATCTCTCTCCCACTCAGTCCCCCATCTCTCTCCCCTCGGGTCTCCACCCCATCTCTCCCTAGTTCCCCCAGCTCTCCCTTGGTTCCCCTATGGCTCTCCCTCAGTTCCCCATAGCTCTCCCTCGGTTTCTCCCCATGGCTCTCCCTCGGTTTCCCCCATCTCTCTCCCACTCAGGTCCCCCCTCCCCTCCTTGAGCTCCTACCTTGTAGCGTGGCCGAGCGCCGCGGAGCTCAGTTTCCTGTACCCGGCTGACAGGAAGTGCTCTCTCTGTGAGCACTTCATTTCTGGCCGCCCGGGTACAGGAAACATAAGTTCCTGTACCGCGGCGTGCTCGGCCACGCTACACAGAGTGCCTGGCAGGAGGGAGCGCTCTGCGCTATGCGCTCACCTCCTGCCGGTCACTGCGGCTTTGCGCCCGCCGGGCCAGTGCGCCCTAAGGCGGCCACTTGTGCCGCCTTATGGATGCACCGGCGGAGTGCACCCTCCTTCCCTCCGGCGACCTATGGCCGCGTGCCCACAGAGCGTGCCATAGGTTCGCCATCACTGGCCTAGGCCATCTTTATGTTGAGCAACAATTCTTTTTTTCAGATCCTCTGAAAGTTCTTTGCCATAAGGTGCCATGTTGAACTTCCAGTGACCAGTATGAGAGAGTGTGAGAGGGATAACACTAAATTTAACACACATGCTCCCCATTCATACCTGAGACCTTGTAACACTAACGAGTATAATGACACCGGGGAGGGAAAATCACTAATTGGGCCCAATTTGGACATTTCCACTTAGGGGTGTACTCACTTTTGTTGACAACATTAATGTTGTGTGTTGAGTTATTTTGAGAGGACAGCAAATTTACACTGTTATACAGGCTGTACACTTACTACTTTACATTGTAGCAGAGTATAATTTCTTCAGTTTTGTCGCATGAAAAGATATAATAAAATATTTACAAAAATGTGAGGGGTGTACTCACTTTTGTAAAATACTGCATATATATATATATATATATATATATATATATATATATATATATATATTAACAGATATATGTTTAAATATCTTATTGTGTATATATATATAAATATATATATATAAAAATAAACGGATGGATGCTTGGATCGATGGATGGGTGGATAGGTGTATGATTGTGTGGATGGATGAGAGGTGAGTAGATAGGTAGTTAGAGACACAGACAAACAGGCAGATGTAATAGCTGATAGATAAACAACTTTGTGGTATCCACTGGCGAACATACCGCGGTCGCAGGGGTTGCGGCTGCGACCAGGCCCGGGCCTCCACTGGTGGTATCATATCTTTAAAGAACAATTTGTGAGTATAAAGCTACATAGGGAAACAAACAACAATGGAAACAAATGAAATACTTCTATAAATTTTTCCACATTTACTTTATTGCCTTAAAATCATTCTGCTATAGCTGGATTAATATAAGTGTATACATGTCCAACTTTGGGTAAAATTTTACAGAAATACAAAAGCATACATACATCTATATACCTATTCATATATATGTGTGTATGTATATATATATATATTCATATATATCTATGAAAAAAAATATATATGTATACATGTCTGTAGTTATAGTTTGATAATTATTTGTATTTGAAGCATTTAGGTATGAACATACACAAACACAGACATGTTCAAGCACATAAATCTAAACGCTTATGCCCGTGCTTGCATGCATATGTGTGTTTATATATTTCCAAATTAGTGCAATGTGCTCAGTCTTCTATGATTGCAGTGAGGGAATACAAAGTGAAGTCAGTCAGAAATGAAAGGAAAACATATTTATTCTATTGCCATTTATCTAGCAGGGCTGCTTCCCTCGCGGTCTCCCTAAGTGCATCTGACAGCAGTTAAAACCACGTCTGCTGTAAACAGGATCTCTCCTCCTTTAGCCTACAACTGCCTGTCACTTCCTAAGCCAATTGCAATAATAACCGCTGGATCATTGTAAATGTGGCTAAAGCCACATTGGACAAAATCAATCTGCCATTTGTTGGCTCGGAAAGAAATCACTTGCAGAGTTGACGAATTGCTTGCAGTACCCTTCAGCAATCCTTAATCTCCCTCTGTGTGTTTGTGTCTCGCTTTCTTTTTTCTCCTTTCCTCATCCTTTGCGTCCGTTGCAGTCTCCTCTCAGTTTTTTTAGCCTTTCCCCAGGACTTCAGGTAATAAGAAATGGCACTGACCCTACTCATCCTTACGATTACCTTTCTGAAGCATGAACTTGGTATAAAATCACACATCAGAAAATTCACTATAATTATTTTGCAATGCTATCAGCACAGATCAATCAAGGGTGAGCCCAGTAGTGGAATGCTCCTTCTAGCCATGGCTGCAGCTAGCCGTGTCCCTGCTGACTGACAGATTTGGTAATTAAGTGATTGTAGAGACCTCTCCAACTGTTCTAACAACCTTGTCAGGGCCTGTCTGCGGACAGAACAAGCAGAAATCAATGTGTTTTATGCTCCCTGAGCATTTCTGATCATGTACTCAGAGAGAGGAAATCAAATCTAAGATGGAAAGAGGCAAACCATGAGCTCTAAACGCTTGAATTAGTTTGGGAAACGAAAAGTTAACTTTAAGAAACAGGGAGAGATTAAAAGAAGAAAAAAAAAAGAAAAGAAAAGAGATTAAGTGAAGCGGAACTTTTTTGAGGTATCAATCTGCAGCATGGGACAAATAATACTTAAGAAGAAACAATGGACTCATGTTTTGTTTTTAGGACATAAAACATTAAAATATCATATTGTGTATATATATATATATATATATATATATATATATATATATATATATTTATTTATTATCTTTTGTGTGTGTGTTTGTGAATAGAATCTACATGTATCAATGCTTGAATATATTTTAAGATGTATCATTTATTTATTTTATTTCTTAACATATTTTGTATTTATTTTTCTTAAGAAGAGCAAGAAGGAATAATTGGTCAGTAAATGTCAGCCAATACCTCCTATTTAGGACACATTAGTAATTTTTATTTAGGATCCTTACTGATTCATCTGTAGGTAAGAGCTCTGTGCTCTGTTATTGGCTGGTCTGTCCCTTTTTATTGCACTGTAAAAATTAAAATTGCTTGCCTTCTCTTCAGAAGTGATGTCATTAAGCAGAAATGCTTTGTGTACAAATCAGGAGTACAAAGACACAATACAAGCAGCTCATTTGTAAACATATGTAGTCTACCATTGTTCAGAATGTCTTTTAAAATATAGATTGGTTAAGTTGTATTAAATGGGCTTTGTATGGCCATGGAAAGACACTGCAAGAGTCACTTAAATGTTCAATAAAAGCAGTAAATCCTTAACAAATTATTTGAAATTAAACGAGACCCAGGAGTATATCAGATGTTCAACTGAATATTGGTGCTGACAATTTGTTAATTGTTTTAACAGCAGAGATTTTACAGACGATACATAGTAACCAGAAAAAAAAATAGATTTGTGCCAAACTAGCATCAATCACATCCTAAGTGATGTCAACAGGGGGTTTGATTGTGCTGGAGAGGTGCTGTTGTCACCTCCTTGTAGGTTATAGCTGAATGTCCAGGCACCATCTGGTTCAAAGTCATCTATCAAGCTTGTGGTACAGGAGCAGGGCAAAGTGGCACTAGGCAGGTCTAGGAAAGAATGAAAACAAAGAAGATGTTTAAGGACCGGTGAGCCTCTGTTTAAATGTGATTTTCATATACAGAGGTGAAATGTGTGTGTTTGTGTGTACGTGGGCATCTATGTAAAGTGTGCATTGAAGTATTTACATATGTGCACAAGTGTGCAAATGTGTATGTGTGCATTTGTATGTGCTATTTTATTATAAACCGTGCTGCTAATAATTTTGTATTTTTTTTCCCTTCTTTATCATGCATTGCTAAGCATCTGTGCAAAGTAAAACAGTAGTGCTCGAGGATGACAAGAGCTAACTGACATTATCATAATCATTATTATTACCATTTATTGACAAAATGCCAAGATGGTTTGCTGCGCCGAACAGTAGATGAATGTTAG